TGTATTCTGTTGATTTGGTCTTTGTGCTTATTTACTAATTGATTTACATTCAAAAGGCAGGTTCTTCAGACATTAATGGATAATGATATCATCACGGGAAGTCAAAATCTGAACATGGGCATTTTCACGTGTGTGACTTACATGAGCTTTATTTTCCTCATATTTGACTTCAGGTCATGTCTGCAGACAAACATGTGAACCTGCAGCAAAGCAATTTTAATCTGACAGCAGATCAGTTTAAGTGAATTGATGTTCAGATTTTTTAAATTTATGGGCAGCCTGCTGTTGCAGCTGTTCTCTGGAAGAAGCAGAGGATTGTGGGATTAAATAAATGGTGGAGGGTCACAGAACAATCTCCACTAAGTGCTGCAGTGTCAGTTTAAAGGGAAACCCGTCATTGTGCAAATGTCACAGTGAACAGGTTTGTATAACATGAACTTGTAATCTGCAGAAACGGTGTCCAACCAGCAGTGTAGGTTAGCTTAGCACAGTTACACATGTGAGGTTTAAAAGAACTTAAACCATTTTTAAATTGAAGGAAAACACACACACACACACACACACACACGTACACGTACAGAACTGAGCTTATGTCATTGCAATCTTCAGAAGTGTTTGCTCAGTGCTGGTTCAGAGACTTAAGCCATTGTTCTCAAATTGGCACCAACACTTGTGCACACTGGCATGTAAGGTCGGTCATCAGGCCTCTACATGGCTTTAATTCTTTTGCAGGGTTGGAAAAAATAAAATAAGTAGTGCATAGCCAAGACGAAGGAAAAATAAAAAATAAAATCTGGCGCAGATCGTTTAATTTTGAGAAAAGCTGATGCGTTTCATTGTGAACTCAAATCAGTTTGACATTCGGTTGTCATCTTCAGTAAGTCTGCAGCATATTCACACACTCCTGAACCGCTCAGATCCAGGCAGGGATCATTTCGTCCAACAGTAACACAACTGAGTATGAAAGCAGTAGGTCTGGTTTGTGATAAATGACAGAGACGAGATGGGGATGGAGATCAGGTTTATTAATGAACTGATGAGGACATACGTGACAGACAAATGCAGTTATGAAAAAAAACAAAAAACAAACAAAAAAAAAAACTTAATTTCAATTTGCCCCCAACCTACCAGAGCTCTCTTCTTCATGCACTCCATCACCATGAGGAAGATCTGCTGTGCCTGGCTGCGGCTGTAGTTGAAGGTCTTCTGGATGGTGACCAGCAGCTGGTCTTTGACACTCTCACTAACCAACCTGTGCAGGACAAACATCCAGGTAGCCACATTAACATTAAACTGAGGAACGCAGAGGGGTATGAGGATAAAGATATTCCCATATTAAAACTGGAATACCATGAGCGTCTCACATGATCTGATTCTTAGTAATTGTGTATTTTAGAAGCAAATGTGATTTTCTACATGACATTGAAGTTAAATAGCCAGACTGCAATCTGTCGATGACAATCCTCAGTGATCGTATCAAAACCATAACTGCCACCAGGTGTGATGATCTAGTTAAGCCTGGCTTTCACGTTCGTTCAGCTCACCCATCTTCCTCGCAGTATCTGTGAGCAAACGAAAGGATGTCTGAAGCTCGACCACTGCCGTCACAGACCACCACTGGGACAGGGGGCTCCTCCTTCAAGCTCTCCAGTGTGATTGAGATAACATTTGGACCACCTTCTACGATTAGACAGACCACTGGGACCCCCTGACCGAGACCTGAAACCACCATACACAAAAATGTAAAAAATAAACGAGTTTTAACTTCTATCAGCATCTGCAATTCAAAATAATGACCTTTAGCATTCAATGATTAGCTTCACTTGCACCAGTTTGCTTTTTCTTTTCTGAAGCATTGCTGAGCCACCCACCAGAAAACTGCTCTCGTGTATGATCTTCCACCTTTATGCAGGACCACGTACCCAAACCCAGCTCCCCTTTCATTCTGAAACTGCTTTCTACCCATGTATTGTGCTCAAACTAAAAATGGTTTGTTAGAGACAACATTTCTGCTACAAGTAGTGGTGTGAAACAGCCTGCCTCACTTAGACTTACCTGACTCGATACAGTTAAGGTTAGATAGAAAAGAAAAGTCTTGATTTGCTGGTCATTTATGGTGGCCTCATGAAGTGAGAGGTGACAGCTGAGCTCCCCTTTGCTGTCCCTGCCTTACAGACAGCTCCAGGCATAGGATGACAAAGGGAAACCCACAGGTCACACAGATTGATGGACTGATAAGCTTCAGACTCACACTAAAAGTGTGCATTTTGGGTAGGTCGCATGTTTGACTCACGCGTGTTGATTTTCTGCAGAGAGATATGCTTCTCCAGCTGCCGGCGGAGGCGAACCTCAGCGCCGTACTTTCCGCATGTCCCGTTATCAGCAAGGATGTAGTGGGAGTGGCTGCTGTTCAGGACTGACAGCTTGCTGAGTGGGTTGGACATTGTCTGATAAGGCCGGGTCACCTGAAACATGAAACCTAAGTGAGGAACAGCACATTTACTACATGAATATCTGCAAACACTGTCGGCTTAGACTCCGTCTGGTTTGTCTTACATCTCTCCCAATCAGGTCTTCTTTGTTCTCCACAATCCCCCATGGTGCAATCCCAATAGCACAAACTTTCCCTCTGGACTTTGAAGAATGGTCTTTCAGAGCATCGCCAACATGGCGGATAACTCCTAAAAAAGTCATGATATACAAAATGACTGTTTGATGTCAAAGAACAGGAATGGCATCAAGTCATCTTTGCATAAAGAATGAAGGCTGCACCTGTACTGACTCCTCCAGTGAAGATCCAGGCTCCAGTGGTGACAGCAGCTTTGATCAGCCCTTTACCAAACACCTGCTTCAGCTTGGGAGGCAGGTCAAAGTTCTGGAGGCCTCCATGAACAGAGATGAGTAGTGTGGGAAGCTCCAGCTGCCAGTCCTTCACCATCAGGTGGAGCAGGGAATCTGGTTTGGAGTCAAAGGAGACCCTGATGTACTGCAGGAGGAGGAAGAGGTGTCAGTGCTAGGACGCTACAGAAGCAGTCAAACTGGCGTGTCACTCCTCCGGCACATTACCATGGCCTTGTTGACATGTCCTCCTCCCTGAAACTCCAGCACTCCGTAGGCATCAGTGGGGGAGACCTGGGTGTGTTTGAGGGCACTCCATCTCTCCGTAGATTGGACTTCCAGCTGGACCAGCGGGGCCCCGTCCTCTTTGGCCCCCAGAGGGACGGCGGTGTGCTGTGCCACCAGCTGACCACAGCTGCACCTGAACAAAAACAGCAGTTCAAACAGGTTACAGGCACTGATGTTCATTTACCGCCTCAGTGTGTAAGATAACTGTCGCACTGAGCAGAGGGGGGAAACTGTCGTTCCTACTATAATACGACGAGATGAGAAACTATCATTTCCACTTTAACCATTTTTGCTTTTATAGGACATCAACTCTGCAGACAGGCTTTCATTAAATTGCAGGAACTGAATGTTTTATGCAACATTAACACCAATAAAGTTACTGATCCTGAAGTTAAACACTAATCGTACAGATTCTCCAAGAACTCTTCATAGCAGCAGAACTCATATTATAAACCGGTGGTCAACTCGTTTTTACCATCAAGCTCGTCGCATTTGTCATTTAACAGACATGAGGTCATATGACTAAAGCACATAATCAACAGCGAGTGACCAGTCACATTACACTGATCAAATGAAGCGATCAGTG